ACATATAATCACACATAATCATACCCTCTAAAATTCATGTCGACTATCGGCAAAGTAAAGAAATTAATACCAAATTCTAGAAGCAGAGCAAAAATTAGTACTAGCTTAACAGACATTAGGGAAATTCAAACAGTAGCCAGGACAGAAGACGTTACACCCATGACTTCTAACTCTAGCTCACCCCCACCTAATCAAGGGATGGCTAACCAAGCCGATATGCTGAACACCTTAAAAATCCCGGACGCTATCCGTTTTATACCACCATACGATGGAAACCCCAAAACACTTAGCGAGTTTATTACCAACGTAGAGGAAGTTCTTTTACTAATTAGAGGTACCGACCAAACACCTTATGGACAAATACTCCTTAGGGCAATTAGAAATAAAATCGAAGGAAAAGCCAATGAAGCAATCATTGAAGAAGGGGCTAGCCTTAACTGGGATGAGATCAAAGAGGCACTTTTGCTGCATTGCACAGACAAAAGAGATGAAGCCACCCTTATGTTCGAACTACATAACCTCTTACAAAACCCACTTCCAATCCAAAAACTTTATGACAAGGTTTGCGAGATTAGACTCGCACTATTTAGACTAACCGACACAAAAAAAATAGACCCGAGCCTGATTAAGACCAAGAAAAACTCTTCACAGACGTTTGTCTGAACTCATTCCTATCAGGAATCAAGGGTCCCTTAGGTACAGCAGTCAGAGCAATGAAACCCACAAACTTACGAGAAGCTCTAGAATGGGCGTTAAAAGAGCGCGAAATTTATTTCACCCAAAACGCACAAAAGGGACAAAATCAAAACCGTAGAATCGAAGATTCGAAACCTAGCACTTCTAGACAAGGGAATTACCAGGAGATACAATTTACAGAAAAGAAAATAGACGAAATAAATTAACCGCTAGATTTTCTAAACATAAGATATTAGCAGATCAGGGCATAACCCTTCTAACATCAAAAAATCAAAAATTACATAAGTCTAAAGTTAAGAAAAATATAAAAAGAATATAACGATTCAAATTACATTACAGATTACATTACATTTACGCACAAGAATTTAACGTGCTACAATTTTCGGAAGATAATAAAATCACCCTAATAAACTTAGAAAATGCGAAACTCATTACGACTCATAAATACTTAATTCATCAAATCAATCTGCAAGACTCATTAAATAACATTAAGAAATTCGAAACATCTCTAGATGAACTCACTAAATCACACCTTTCAAACGAAATTGTTAATTCTATTAGAACCAAACTAAACCAAGTAAAAGCAAAAATTTTTTCTCTAATACCTAAAAATAGAAGCAAGAGAGGTCTAATAAATGGTCTTGGCAGTGTTATAAAAGTAGTCACAGGCAACATGGATGCCGACGATGAAAAACGAATAAATACAAAATTTAATGAATTGTCAAACAACGAAAATAGCATTATAAATAACATTAACAAACAAATTATTGTCAACAAAGAAATAGAAAATAGATTTAAGAATATATCCGATCATATCAATAAAGAACAAGACATAATTAATAATTTCATAAGAAATTATAGAAATAACATATTCAAAACAATAAATGATGAAAATAATGAAATCCATATACTCCAGTTTACAGAAAGAATGAACGTAAATATAGATATTCTGTATAATCATATTAATAATATTGTAGAAAGTGTTCTGTTAACGAAACTAAACATAATACCTAAATTTATTTTGAACGAAAAAGAGATGGAAATAATTTATAATATTATGAACGAACAACAAATGGAAATCAACACAGACGAACATATATATAGATTGTTAAACCTAGAAACCGAAATTAAGAACACAATTGTAAACTTTAGGATTAAGATACCAATTTTCGAAAAACATAATTACACACTATTACATATTATTCCACTAGCCGTAAATAATTCTAAGTTATTAATTGTACCAAATTTCGCTATCCTAAGCCAAGCCGGCAAACCAAAATATTTTAACGACAAATGTACAAAGATACACAAATTATTCATCTGCGAAGATCCTCCAATGACAAGCAACCTACCGGACCAACAATGCTTAGAAGGCATACTACACAATCAAACCTCTATATGCAACGTCAGGGATATGGGCAACACGGAGGTCATCCAAGAAGTAGAACCAAATCATATACTAATACTCAACACGAGAAACACCACTATAACCCCGTCATGCGAGAAGTCAAGAAGTATCACGGGATCAGCCATGATCACATTCACGAATTGCTCTGTCAACATCAATGGCTTAACATATGACAACACGGAAACCACGTACAAAGAAGACATCACTATATCAACACCGACTTTACAAAACATCAAAATTAACAACACAATAGAAGAAATAAGTCTTCAAAAACTTCACTTCCGAGCTCTAACAACACAGGAACAGATAGTCAACATCAGAGATGCAAATTTCAATAATTTAACAATAATATACATCCTACTGACTACACTTATAATTATCACAGCTGCCTGTTGGACCTGTAAGCCGAAGAATACAGTGTTCATCCCAAACGAAATACCTCCACGGGAAATGCCTATCTTACCTTCGTTCTGGCCATCGCTTCACACTAGGGGGGGGGGAGTTACCATCTCCGCTCCCCTCGAGTTGATACCCCAGAAGCCGCCTCGCCTTTCAGCTGAGTCGACAACTGGCTATCGTGTGGGCGATGTCGGCCAGCATTTCCGCTCTCAATAGAAGTCAACAACTTTACATTGTGGCTACAATGTGAAGACTTCTATAAACAACAAATTGCAACATCAAATTTCGATGCGTCGGCATTCTGCCGACGACAAGCTGGCTTAGGGTAGAGTTATAAGATCTTTATTCTGTACAGTTCAGTGCAGTCCAGATTTGTAAATGACAGAGAACAGTTTATTTCGTAAATAAATCAAGAATCTTTAAAATTCAACAACCCTGTTTGTTTAAACAAAGTACTAATCATCAAATTGTCGGAGGATACACCATTCCCGAAGGAAACACACCACCCTTTCTCCTCCTCATCACCAGCAGCAACTGGTAACTCGCGTGCTATACAAGGACCTAGTAAAAAAAATTTAAGTCTCTAGCTCTTATATCTTCTGAGACCGACTGGTTGAAGCATACGGACAGACGGACAGTCGGACAGAGCTAAATCGACTCAGATCGTCGCCCTGATTAAGAATATATATACTTTATGGGGTCTGCCACGTCTCCTTCTACCTACATTTAACAAAACCATTATACCCTGATTTCCCATTGTATTCAGGGTATAAAAATTTGTTGCAAAATGTGGCGAAATTATGCCCGAGCATGTAAATACATAAATTGGAAAACCACCGTTAGCATTTTCGTTTTCTGTCTGCAGCTAAATTTCTAGGAAAGTACGGTGTACGAAGACTTTATTGGAGCCAAAAACATGTCTTTTTATGAACTTTTAATTAAAACTACTAAACTAAGCAAGACATAGACCTACATCTTTTTATAAAATAAGATTAATATATAAGATGATAAAAGTGTATCAAAACTTTGGTAAGATTCTTACTTACTCGATATGCGCGTGGTATACACGGACCTAGGAAAAACAAGTAAGAAAGCTGTAGTCGAAACTGCCCGACTACGAGATCCCCTGAACCCTTCGGGCAACTGATATTTCACTAATTATTCGCATATGCACACTTACACGCACATACACAGACATACGTACGCACGCATAAACACGCATTGGCTGCAGTGTTGGCCTACAATAGGAACTTGATTGCTTAATAACTTTTCTTCTGGACGGGCTATCTTCATGAAACTTTCAGATTATGAATATAACATAGATATGCATGTATTTGCCAAAGCACAAGTCCCTAGTATTTGAAATACGCCTATTACAAATGTGACGGTGAGGGGGTGAATTAGAGGTGGGGGATAAATTTTGATAAAAACCGAAATTGTATAAAATGCATATAAGTATACATAAATAATACATAAATATACATAAATTTGGAGACTCTAGCTTTAAAGATGTAGGTGATATCAATTTATTACTGGTTTTCGATAATGCTTTTAATCGATAACAAAATAACGGGGCAAGTTATCGATATTTAAAACAAAAGTCGATATGCGCGTGCTATACACGGACCTAGGAAAAAAATTTCAAGTCTCTAACTCTTATATCTTCTGAGATCGACGCGTTCAAACATACGGACAGACGGACGGACGGTCAGTGCTAATTCGACTCAGCTCGTCGCCCTGATCAAGAATATATATATATTTTATGGGGTCTGCCACGGCTTCTTCTGCCCGTTACATACTTTTAACAAAACCATTATACCCTGATTTCCCATTTTCATCTGACCATCACCGGAGAGTCTGGTGAATTTGGAGTCATCGGAATCATCGGACTATATATTTAAAATTTGGAGACTCTAGCCTTAAAGATGAAGGAGAAATAATTTTATAATTGATTAGTAAGTTATCGATTTTTTGATATAAACTCGATATGCGCATTGTATATACGGACATTTATCTTCTGAGATCTTTATTATTCTGAGATCCAATATACCCTTATTTCCCATTTTCAATGGGTTCAGGGCAAAAAAATGGAAAAGCTTCAGGTCAACTCTTTAACTAACAGAGTAGCACTAGTACAACGACAAATAAATTCAAGACATAAGAGGACCAACCTGATAAGGTTATAAGAACTGTAGAAATTGCTGACTGATGGCTGATGCATTTTTCCAGGGTATAAACAGTCGCCGTATCTTGTTATATCTCATCATACCTTGTATTTTTTAAAGCTATCCGGTCTGTCGAATAAAATACTCCTATCAGGTTGGTGGCATTAATGAAAAAAATTTTCTGTGCTTATTAAGATTATCTCCAAGTTGACTCTAGTTTTGTAAACTCTAACTTTAAATAAATTAAAAAATACTTGTAAGCAACACAACAAAACTTAATTTTTGATTTATGTTTATATTTGCTTAAATTACATTATTTATCCAAAACAATATTTTATTAATTCACGTTAAAATGTTTATTGCTTGTGTGTTATTAATTTTTAAGCTAATGTGCCTGTGGATCACACTGCAGAAGCCGAACTATTGAAGGATCACTTTTTGCTCCTTCTATAAATTCATCCAAGCTTAGTTTTCCGTCTTTGTTTCTATCCATTTGACGAAAAATTTTATCTGTTCTTTTCTCCGGTGTGCTTTCATCTTCTGGCATTTTCATGACCGATCCAACCATTTTGTATATTGCCTAAAAAAATTGATGAAAACTTTTAAATGAATAACATATGTAATAATCTGTAGTAAAAGTTAAATTTGTATCCTGTATCTCTTTTCCCCTAAAACGGTAACAGATATGCACACAGAATTGCAATACCATCTTCAGGGATCAACATCAAGCTGCTGCTATCTATTTCAGTATACAACATTTCAGTGAAAAACAAGTAAGAAAACTCTAGTCGAGACTGCTCGATTACGAGACACCCTGAACCCTTCGAGCAACTGATATTTTAATAATTATTCGCACTTGCACACACACACAGTCATACGCACGAACGGGCTACAGTGGTGGCTTACTATGGGAACTTAAATGTTTAATAACTTTTCTTGTGGATGGACTATCTTCATGAAACTTTCACATTATTATTATAACATGAATATGCATGCATTACCCAAAGCAAAGTCTTTAGTATTTGAAATACACCTTTTACAAACTTATGGGTGAGGGGTTGGATATAGGGGGGAGGGGGGGGGAAGGGTTAACAAAAATCGAAATACATCTATATGTATGTATATTAACAAGTAAGATACCCTCCAATCTGATATTCTTTTCGGCACACATACATACACACGCACGTATTAGAACGCGCTCTGCCAACTGCGCAGTAAGCAGCGACTGTGCTTGGGCTGCGCTTCAGTGTGGGCAATATTATACGAATTTATTTGATGAATAATTTATTTTTTCGATGTACAATCCTTATGAAACTTTTAGAACATAATCATAATGTTCAAATGTATGTATATTCCAAAGCATAAGTCTCTAGTACTTGAAATACGCTTTTTACAACGGTGAAGGTGAGGGGTGGATATAAAGGTGGGGGGTAAATTACAACCAAAATCGAAATTATATAAAATACATATAAGTCTACATTTAAAATTTGGAAGCTCTAGCTAAAGGTGTAGGAGACATAATTAAATAACTAGCTTTCGATAAGGTTTTTGATCGATAATAAAATATCGGGAATGGTTATCGATATATATAGAAAAATTCGATATGGGCGTAATATACACGGACCTAGGAAAAATTTCAAGTCTCTAGCTCTTATATCTTCTGAGATCGACGCGTTCACACATACGGACGGACGGACAGGACCAAATCGACTCAGCTCGTCAAGAATATATATACTTTGTGGGGTCTGTCACGCCTCCTTTTGCCTGTTACATACATTTCAACAAAACCATTATACCCGGATTTCCCATTGAAAATGGGTTCAGGGTATAAAAATGAAGTATAATGAAATAAAGCCCTTTATGGTACTATATCATAAATGTCATAGAGAAATTATATTTACCGTAACAATTTCAAGCATTTCCTGCCGCGATATGTATCCGTTTCCATCTAAGTCGTACATTGAAAATGCCCATTTCAATTTTTGCTCAAGCTTCCCGCGAGATGTTACACTTAATGCGCATAAGAACTCTCTAAAATCGATGGTTCCATCACCATTTGCGTCGAATGTTCTAAACACATGTTCTGCGAACTAAAAATTTTTTTTAAAAATATATTTCGGTACACATATTTTGTGTAGTAAAATATAGACAATAATTTAACATACAATTCTATTATTTGTATATGTCTGTTTATATGTTTAGAAAAACTTAATACAACGAATGAGGAATTGTATTTTGATACGGAAGCCAAATATGCAATAACAGTAAATAGCTTTTGTTTTTATATAAAATCCAATCCGATGCAAGCATACAATAAGGATTATATTGTTTTATCATAATATATAACACCAAATACGATTTATTTTATTTTATTAATTTGGACGAAGCTCTTTTAGTATTATTCATACAAATTTAATTTTGTAAATTTATCAGATTCTACTATCACCTGTATCTATATTCGTATTTGAATTATTTAATATATATTCTTGGTTATTAGCTGCGAAATATTAGTGACAAAACTATAAGGGCAGTTAAGGGCATTATATAAAAGGTTCGAAATACCTTACTTGCGTCGCCATATGGAAAAAAGTTTCCATATATTTTTTTAAACTCTTCTACTGACAAATGACCGCTCGGGCAATCCTTTAAAAACCCCTTATACCATTCTTGAATTTCAGCATCTGTAATTTAAAAGAAAACAGTTAAGAAATTGGTTAATAGAACGCTTTTCTAAACGTTTTTTTTACACCCTACACCTATTGAAAATGGAAAATAACGGTAATTAAACAATTAGGTTCAGCAAAAATTTTGTTAACAGGTAACATATTCTTGATCAAGGCGACGAGCGGGCGCGATTTAGCCTTGTTACCCTATATATCCGTCCGGCGGTCTGAATCTATGAACTCATCGACTTCAGGATTACTGGAATCATCGATTAATAACTTTATCGGAAACACTAACCAGAGAACACATAGACTAGATATGTATGTAGTACAATTTTTTCCTTCACGAAAAAATACGACGAAGAGACCAGACCAGACCAGAAAAGGACACCTTCCCCAACGAAGTACGGTTATGAGCTGTCGCTCTCTCTATGGTCTCTCAAATATCAGCAGCGCACAAAAATTGAAATTTGTTCGCAATGATCTCAGCTCTTTCCTTTTTAGTGAAGGGCATACCAAAATCTTAAAAAAATCTTTTGCACGAACGTAGCATGAACGCTTTTAAGATTTTCACTATTATTTCTAGGAAGGGTATGAAAGCATTGAGACACATAAAGTATATAATTTGGCGACGGGTATGCACACATAATGAATGTTTAGGCGACGAGCAAGCACACACACATTTCCAGTCCCTCGCAGTCCCTATGTATATGTACATATGAGTAGAGTGACCATCCGTCCTGGAATACCGGGACATGTTCCGCTTTTGAAAGTAATGTCCCGGTGTCCCGACCTGACACGAAACTGTCCTGGTTATACTCATTCACGAAAGTGAATCAGTATATTGGTTTTGTGCAATGTCCGTCTTGCTGTCCGTCCGTCTGTCCGTCTGTCCGTCTGTCCGTCCGTCCGTCTGTCCGTATGAACGCAATCTATTTCGGCGCTATTGAAGCTAGAGACTTGAAATTTGGAACACATACTCGTGTATATCTCCGATCTATAAAGTGTTAAAATTTTCCCGATCCGCCCACTAGGGGCGTGGAAAATCGGAAAATGCATTTTCCGATATACCAGAAATCATGTTAGTTAAAGAGCTAGAAAGCTGAAATTTGGTATGTAGGTCCACGTTGACCACCCAAGATCGCGAGCTATGGCGGATATATCTACGCCCATTGGCGACGTAGCAAAGCGGATAAAACGGTATCTCCTAGAGTTTTAAAGCTAGAACGCTAAAATTGCACGTGGACTAATGTTATAATTATGTAAAGATTTATGAAAAAATGATATGTTTACGCCTGCTAAAGGCGTGGAAGATCGGACGTGAATATATAGTGATTTTTCAAACTCTGCTGTATTTTGGACAATATTTATGCTAAATATACCATATTGGAGGTTATACATACTCGGGCTGACCACCCAAGACGAAAAAGCTAAGGTGGATAAATGTCCACCCACAGGGGGCGTGGTAAATCGCAAAAGTTTATACCTCTTAAACTAAAAGAGCTAGAAGGTTCAAGTTTGGATAATTAAGTTACTACTTCCTTTATCGATGAGCTAAAAATAATTGTTACGCCTCTTTAGGGGCGTGGTATATTGAAAAATACCCTGTAATTTTCATATTTTTGGAACGTAAGCTTCCAATCCAGCTAAGTTACCGCTAGCTAGTTCTCTGAACTGACCAAATGTGAGGTGTCTACGGCCACTAGGGGCGTGGCAAATCGAGAAAAACTGAATTATTAGAGCTAAACTTAGCTAATCAATTTCTGATGGGATGTGAATGAGTATTCCGCAGTCGTTAACGCCCGACTGCAATGTTCTTACTTGTTTCGAGTATTTTAACTGATCGAAAAAGAAATGAGCACACTAGACAGTTATCTCAGTAAAATATTAGATAAGCATTCCAATATAGTATCCGATTTAATTGAAGTTTTTAGAAGCAAGCAAAGTAACTCACCTCAACACTCGATAAGCTTAGTGCAAATTAGGTTAGCTTACCTTGATAAAGGAGACTCAGATGAGGACGGACAAGTGGTAGAAGATTGAAAAAAAAAAATAAAGGAAAATCTTAAGTATGGAATGGGAAGAATTATTTTTCCATATCCAAGGCATAAAAGAAAATTTCAAAAAATCTTATAAATGTGTAACGCTGAATAGGAACATTAAAAAGGAAATTCTGAATAAACACGCAAAAATTCTAGTTGACTCTTTCAATGAGGCACGAATATTAGTGCATGTTAATAGAGCAAATATAGGTAAAACGAACTGGTCAAAGATTTTTAACCTATTGATCAAGTTACGTGCAAACCTAGCAAGATTCATCGTACAGTTCTCGTAACAATTCAATAAATCCCAAAGATCCCAAGCGAAAAGTTGAGATAATTCACAAGAAGACAAATCAAGAAATTCAGTATAGTATTTACATAACAAACTCCGAAAACGCAGTCATAAAATTGCTAAATACAACAAATATAGACCAAATCATAAACATAGACAATTTAAAAACTGAAAACTACGAAGCAGTTGAAACCAATCCAGAACAAAGAGAAAAAACAGTACTAACAACACTATCTACAAATTTTCCGTCACAATTTCACAGTCAACTTATGAAGCTATGCAAGAACTATAGTGATGTATTCGGATTGGGGACTGAATTAATAACAACAAATAATTTTTACAAACATAAATTAAGACTGATAGATGATGAACCAATCTACATTAAAAATTATAGAAATCCGCATAGTCAGAAAGATGAAATTCAAAGACAGGTCCAAAAATTGATAAACGTCAAAATAGTCGAACCCTCCGTACTTGCTTACAATAGCCCACTTATAATGGTACCGAAAAAATCCTTACCAAATTCCGAAAATAAACAAGTAAGAAAGCCTAGTCGAGACTGCTCGAATAGGAGATAACCTGAACCCCCTAATCTGATATTCTAATCATTCTGCATTTCTTTTCGGCACACATACATACACACGCACGTATTAGAACGCGCTCTGCTAACTGCGCAGTAAGCAGCGACTGCGCTTGGGCTGCGCTACAGTGTGGGCAACATTATAAGAATTTATTTGTTGAATAATTTAGTTTCTAGACGTAAAATCTTAATTAAACTTTCAGAACAGAATTATAATGTTCAAATGTATGTACCTTCCAAAGCATAAGTCTCCAGTACTTGAAATACGCTTTTTACAACGGTGAGGGTGAGGGGTGGATATAAGGGTGGGGGGTAAATTACAACCAAAATCGAAATTATATAAAATACATATAAGTCTATATTTAAAATTTGGAAGCTCTAGCTGGAAAGGTAAGGCTTTTAATCGATAATAAAATATCGGGAGTAGTTATCGATATATAGAGAAAAACTCGAAAAAAAATTTCAAGTCTCTAGCTCTTATATCTTCTGAAATCGACGCGTTCATACATACGGACGGACAGACAGACAGACGGACAGGGCCGAATCGATTCAGCTCGTCGCCCTGACCAAGAATATATATACTTTGTGGGATCTCCCACGCCTCCTTCTGCTTATTACATACATTTCAACAAAACCATTATACCCTGATTTCCCATTTTCAATGTGTAGTTCAGGGTATAACAAGTAAGACAGCTCTAGTCGAGACTGCTCGACTACGAGATCCCCTGAACCCTTGGAGCAATAGATATTTCAATAATTTTTCGCGTCTTTCAGCTTACACAAGAAACACGCACCCACACACACATACACACGCACGTACGCACACACAGGCATACATACACACACACGCATACAGACACAAACGCATACACACACTCACATACACACACACATACACAAACACATACATACACATACACAAACACATACACACACATACACAAACACATACACACACAAGCACCCACGCATAAGCACGCATGGGCTGCAGTGTGCGCTTACTATGAGAACTTAATTGTTTAATAACTTTTTTTATGGACGTACGATCTTCATGAAACTTTCAGATTATGATCATAACATGGATATGCATGTAATTGCCAAAGCACAAGTCTCTATTTGAAATACGCTTTTTACAAAAGTGAGGGTGAGGGGGTGAATTTAAGGGTGGGGGTACATTTTAACAAAAACCGAAATTGTATAAATTGCATATAAGCATACATTAAAAATTTGGAGACTCTAGCAATAAAGGTGTAGAAGATATAATTTTATAACTGGTTTTCGATAAGGTTTTTTATCGATAAAAAAAAGATCGGAATGAGTTATCGATTTTTAATGATAAACTTGATATGCGCGCTGTAATTACGGACATTTAAAAAAAATTTGAAGTCTCTAGCTCTTATATCTTCTGAAATCGACGCGTTCATACATACGGACAGACGGACAGGGCCAAATCAACTCAGCTCGTCGCCCTGATCAAGAATATATATACTTTGTGGGGTCTGCCACGCCTCCTTCTGCCTGTTACATACATTTCAACTAAACCATTATACCCTGATTTCCCATTGAAAATGGGTTCAGGGTATAAAAATAGTAAATAGATTTAAATTTACCTGTGAACTCTGTATTTTGTTTTAGATCCTCCAAAACTTCCGGCTTAAGTTTACTGTTTTGCTTTCCCATTTTTTGACGCTGATTTCATTATAGTGGTTTCTTAAAATAGAAGGAATATAAGTTTATTACATTTTTTATAGCAATAATATTAAAGGAATATACAATCAGGCAATACAAAATAGTGTCTAAAATTCGATAAAAAAGTTAACGCTTGCCAATGTTTATATGGTCAGCATTCTGCAAGAGTAAAGTTATTTTTTTTGTGGACTCAAAGTTCATGATAAGTTACCCTAAAAGCTCTCAAATAGATTTTCGAATATGTCGTTAAGCTCGAATGTAATAATGTTGCTAATTTATGGACAATATATATTAAATATTTAAACATCGAAGAAAAGTGGTGTAAAATATTAATGATAACAATACATTTGGATTTATAGCGCATTGCTCTCAATTTAGAACAAGCCCCAATTGAAATGATTGATTTTCGCACAAGCCAATCCGCATAATAGGATATATGTATTGTCAAACTAAAATTTTAAAATCAAAGTAACTTGCAATTAAGATAAAATAATGACGTTGGCTTCTATGAAATATAGTCGCATTGTGTATGATTCCTTCACAATCCTATAGCTTCGGCTTTGATGGGCTATAATGTAATATGAGGCTAAGTCCTCTGGAAGGATAAATTTGGGCAGAAAAAATATATATGTATGTATGTTATTACCGCGTATTGTAAAGTCTGCAAGGTATATTCAAGAACCTTGGATCCTAAATTGCAACTTGCTTAATAACTTTTCTTGTGGATGTACTTTCATGAATATGAAACAGATTAAGAATATAACATGAATATGCATGCATTTGCCAAAGCACAGGTCTCTAGTATTTGAAATACGCTTTTTACAAATATATGGGTGAGGGAGTGAATATAGGGGTGGGAGGTAAATTGGAAATGGAAGCTCTAGCTCAAAAGGTGTAGGAGATATAATTAAATAACTAGCTTTCGATAAGGTTTTTAATCGATAATAAAAGATCGGGAATAGTTATCGATATTTAGCATAGCTCGCAAATAACTGTTAACACTTTTTCGTTGTCTGCAAATAAGTGTCTTTCACTGATACAATCAAAAAAACTCAGACAGAAACTTTGCGTCTGGCCTAGCTCGCTCGCGCTCTGAGAGAGACAGTTATTTCTGTTTTCGGTTCGCTCAAGTCAAACACTGATCGTTTGCTTTAGTTAAATGAAGCAAACTGTCAGTTGCGTTTGTATGGGTAATCACGCGCGATTGTTGCGTTCTTTTTGTATGTATGTATGTATGCATGTATTTACATGCACACGAAGTCAAAGATCATTTATGTTGAGTTTTTAGTAAAACTGTCTTTTGCTGAGAGTCTTTGTGTGAGGGAAAATCGTATTAGTCTTTACGCGACACTCATTTGAGAGCGTCACACGAATGAGTCATTGCAATGCGTCTGACCGAAACAGATTCTAAAGAAAATAAAGAGTGTCGCTCAGAGCGAGATCGTGACTGCACAAGCTTTTCAGTTATGATACGAAGCATATACGAAAAAACGATCAACTCTCATTTGCGAGCTCTGATATTTAGAGAAAAACTCGATAGGCGCGTGATAAGCATGGACCTAGGAAAAAAAATTCAAGTCTCTAGCTCTTATATTTTCTGAGATTGACGGGTTCATACATACGGACGGATGGACGGACAGACAGATGGACAGGGCCAAATCGATTCAGCTCGTCGGCCTGGGCAAGAATATATATACTCCTTCTGCCTGTTACATACTTTTAACAAAACCATTATACCCTGATCTCCCATTTTCAATGCGTTCAGGGTATAAAACAAATATATCTTTTGTACTAATAACATTATATCCAATTAAAAAAATCGCCATGGGGGAAATATCTTTTAAAATTGACCAGCAACTTTATTAGCTAGTTTCGATTCATAGAAATGTATACCTATTACCATACCTTCTGTTCTGAAAAAAAGAAATAATCATTCACAGAAAGCCATTCCAACCATATATATCACTATTAAAAGGGGATCTTCCCCTTATTCACAATTTGCATTACGTAAGTATTGAAACAAATTAGGTGATGTTCAATATTTTATATAATTTTAGTATAAGAAATATAAATTAAATATTTATACATTTCATTACTGATTTCATCAAATACACACATATTATAGGATATAAATATTTAAGGGGCCAGCATTTTAGACAACTCTTCATCTTGCAAACATCCCTTTAAAAATTCATCTTGGGTTAATTGACCATCGTTATTTTCATCCATCTTAGCAAATATATTTTTTGCTCGCTCCTCAGCTGAATCAGCGGGACGATTTGATGAGCATGCGCCTAGCATGTCATAGATTGCCTGAAAAATGTTCTCAGATCAATTTAATTTTTCATACAAAGTATATAAATATTTTTTTAAATAATGTATAATGTAATATTTAGAGTTTATGTCATGAAACAAACATGACAAATATAAATCAGGCGGACGAGTAAAATTATTGATAAAAATAATGGTAAAGATGTTCTAACCAAATTGAAAACTGAATTAGTACTAATATAAATAGGAAAATAAATCACATCTAGATCCACTACTAACTGTGTAAATATCATGGATATCTTTATCACAATGAAGATCATTTTTATATAATATAAAATTTTATGTTATGTTAATATTATGACATAATATTAATTGAAATAAAACAAGTAAGAAAGCTCTAGTCGAGCCTGCCCGACTACGAGTTCCTCTGAACCCTTCGAGTAACTGATATTTCAATAATTATTCGCACATGCACACACACGCACACAGACAGACATACGCACGCACGCATAATCACACATTGGCTGCAGTGCACTGCACCACTGCAGTGGTGGCTTACTATGGGAACTTAATTGTTTGATTACTTTTCTTGTCGATGGACTATCTTCATGAAACTTTTAGATTGTAAATATAAGATAGACATGCATATATTTATCAAAGCACAAGTCTCTCTCTACTATTTGAAATACGCCTTTTACAAATATGTGGGTGAGGGGTGAATATAGGGGTGGGGGTAAATTCTGAAAAAAATCGAAATTCTATAAAGTGCATATAAATCTATATTTAAAATTTGGCTACTCTAGCTTTAAAGATATAGCAGATATAAATTTATTACTGGTGCTTGATGTTTGTAATCGATAACAAAATACCGGGGCAAGTTATCGATTTTTTTTTTAATTTTTAGCTCTTATATCTTCTGAGATCGACGCATTCAAACATACGGACTGACGTACAGAATATATATACTTTATGGGGTCCGCCAAGCCTCCTTCAGCCTATTAGATAATTTTAACAAAACCATTATACCTTGATTTCCCAATTTCAATGGGTTCAAGGTATAACATGTGTGAAGAAAAAGTAAAAACATTGTAGATTGAAAAATTACTTTTTCGACGAGGTATATATCAAGGTATATATAATTATCTAAAATTCTAAATAAACCAAAAAACACAAAATTTGGCGTTACTTTAACATCCGGCTTTTACTTTTTACTTTTTACTTTTTACTGACAAAATTCGAGTTTGATTAGAAAACGGATCATATTTAATATTTTGGTATACATAATCTTTGATGCCATGGAATCAAATGCTCGGCAATGAGAGTTCATCTCTTAATTGAGGAGCACTTAGTCAAGGGTTGTCTTTTATTTTCCTGACAATATCGATTTCTTCCAGTTTTTGCCCTTTCATAACTAAAAAATCAAATTGGTGCACTAGTTTTTTCTGCTCCAAAGATGAACCTGATCCTTTTCAGCCCATGATAAATTTTAGCTAAGGATTCAAGTTTTCCGCTATCTCTGCTTATAAAATATATTTTTGATAGGTTACTTTTTCAGGAAACCCTGTTAAATGACTTATTTGCGGGTATTTGTACTTGCTGTAGTCTTTTATTACTACTTATATTGATATATGTTTCATCGGAAAAGTAACTTTTCAATCTACAAAGTTTCATTAACACTTTTTAAATTTCAATTAATATTGGAAATAAAAAAAAAAACGAATATTAATGTTATATTATATATTATTTTATTATTTGTATTATAGATTATTATTTATAATATATATATATATATATATATTAAAAATAATAATTTGTATTATAGATTATTATTTAATGAAAATATGTAAATATTTTGTATGTACCTGAACAATTTTTGTCATTTCTTGAATGTCAATAACGCCATTCCCATCGACATCGTACATCCTAAACGCCCACTTTAATTTCTCTTCTGGTGTGCCGCTAGAAGTAACATCTATTGCAAGTAAAAATTCCTGTCAAAGAAAGTGAAATAAAAAACTAATCAAGATATATTGTCCACAATCGTACATATTTTAACTAGAAAGAAGTAAGAACGCTCTAGCTCCTCTGAACCTTTCGAGGAACTGATATTTCAATAATTCTTTGCGTCTTTCTACTAACTAGGGGACTATCTGGGCCGGAGCTCATTCCGGGACTGTCAACAACAACCAACCAACCAACCCAGCCCCTCCCCCTCCGCAAAAAAAAAATTTTTTTTTAAATAAATCATTGTCACATAGATTTACACATACATTCAACTAATACTTTTTTCATATTTAGCATCATTACATTATCTTGCGACTAATTCCACAAGAAGAACATCCATATATGTATATGAATACATCCTTATATTTAATTGTTATTATATTCATGATTGCCTGACTTATACTTCTCCACACTGCCTATTTTTCCCAACATATGTACATAACATTTCTTTCATTAATATTTAATATTTTTATGTCCACAAAATTAAATTGAACTATATGTATGTTTTTAACATTATCTACTATTTATTTCTTTCGTCTGACCAAAGTGTCTTTAGTAAGAAAAAAAAAAGCCCTTTCGAAATTTGCGCATTGTGCGCTGGAGCCGCATGCAGGATTTCAGCTATTTATACTTCCGAGTAACAGTACGAGTCTACGTTTGTTGCAAAAACTGCATTGCCTTATCTGCGTTGTTTTTCTAAACAAAATTCTTGATTTGTCTCGACACAAACTTTTTCAAGCTTTCATTTTGTCAATATGACTATTTTTTTTATCGAAACAGTAGAAAACCGGGACAATAGCGTGTCAGGTCGGGACACCGGGACAGCGGGACATGTCCCGGAATTTCAGGACGGATGGTCACCCTACTACTAATACAACAAACACACACACTCACAGACATACATACATAGGCACGCAGGCATAAACACGTATGGGCTAAACACGCTCGACTAGGAGATACCCTGAACCCTCAAATCTGATATTATAATCACTCTGCACTTTTTTTCGGCATACATACACACGCACATATTAGAACGCGCTTTGCTAACTGCGCAGTAAGCAGCGACTGCGCTTGGGCTGCGCTGCAGTGTGGGCAGCATTATAAGAATTTATTTGTTGAATAATTTAGTTTCTAGTCGTACAATCTTAATGAAACTTTCAGAACATAATCATAATGTCCAAATGTATCTACATTCCAAAGCACAAGTCTCTAGTACTTGAAATACACCTTTTACAAAGGTGAGGGTGAGGGGGTGGATATAGGGAAGGAAGAGGGGGGGGTAAATTACAACAATAATCGAAATTATATAAAATACATATAAGTCTACATTAAAAGCTCTAAAGGTGTAGGAGATATAATTAAATAACTAGCTTTCGATAAGGTTTTTAATCGATAATAAAATATCGGGAATAGTTATCGATATATAGAGAAAAACTTGATATGCGCGTGATATACACGGACCTAGGAAAAAAAATTTCACGGACGGACGGACAGACAGACGGACAGGGCCAAATCGACTCAGCTTGTCGCCCTGATCAAGAATATATATATAATTTGTGGGGTCTGCCACGCCTCCTTCTGCCTGTTACATACTTTTAACAAAACCATTATACCCTGATTTCCCATTTTCAATGGGTTCAGGGTATAATAATCAACGTCTAAAACCGCTATAACATTTGAATACTTTTTTACAGAGCAGACAAATATTTTGATTTGATGGCTCTGATATTTGTGTATAGTTGTGTATTATAGATTATATTATTGATCTGCATGAAATTATTCATTTCCATTCCATTTCCGCCATAGTACAACATTTTACTGTCGTTTTCACATGTTATACACTATACATCATTTTGGGTGCAGTAAGTGACAACTCTACAGATAAACTAAATATTTTGCACAACGTTGACTGAATAAATTAATATTATTCCACCTAACCAAGAAATAGATGATATTTTCTATCATAGGCAATGGAATTTGATCATATGAAAATGTATATATACCATATAGTGCAGAATTCAATGTTATGAATTGGTGGACAAACAAAAAGCAACAATTTTCCCAACTTTTTAAGGCAGTAAGTTAACTGCACACCAAAACAGTGTACAGTAAAAGTAAGTACACCAACCAGTGCTGCCAGAATTTCTCAAGTCAAAATAGCTAAATTTGGCGAAAAAAAATTGGCAAAAATTGCTAAAAATGTTGTGAAAATTGCCCAAAAAAAGTTGCTAAATCATTAAAATATTGATTTTCAACAAATATACATATGTATTTTAAGAAACATAAAAATAAACAAGTAATAAAACTCTAGTCGAGACTGCACGACTACGAGATCCCCTGAACCCTTCGAGCAACTGATATTTCAATATTTATTCGCACTTGCACACACACAGCCATAAGCACGCACGCATTGGCTGCAGTGGTGACTTGCATGAGAACTGAATTATTTAATAACATTTCTTGTGGATGGACTATCTTCATGAAACTTTCAGATTATGAATATAACATAGATATGCATGTATTTGTTAAAGCAGAAGTCTCTAGTATTTGAAATACGCCTTTTACAAAGGTGACGGTTGGGGGTAAATTTTGACAAAAATCGAAATTTCATAAAGTACACATAAATCTACATTAAAATTTGGGGACCCTAGCTTTAAAGATGTAGGAGATATGAATTTATTACTGATTTTCGATAACGTTTTTAATCGATAACAAAATAACGGGGCAAGTTATCGATATTTATGCGCATGATATACACGGACCTAGGAAAAAATTTCAAGTCTCTAGCTCTTATATCTGAGATCGACCCGTTCAAGCATACGGACAGACGGACGGACGGACAGAGCTAAATAACTTCAGTTCGTCGCCCTGATCAACAATATATATACTTTATGGGGTTTGCCACGCCTCCTTCTGCCTGTTACATACTTTTACCAAAACCATTATACCCTGATTTCCTATTTTTAATGCGTTCAGGGTATACAATGGCAATGTGTAGGCATAATGCTGCTTCCTGCTCCTCGGTTTTGGTCGATTTGCGAATAAAAGGCAACAAATTCTTTTGTGCACCGCGGTGGCCGATGTCAAAAAGCTTAGCGGTAATCGATAATTTGCATCACGCACAATAAGCACGCGTCACGAAAACTCTGTTTTTATACTTTGGGCATCTTGTTCTGATCACAATCACCAACACATTAAAAGAGTTATCAAACACTATAAAGCAGTTCAAGCTCCGATATCTTAATCGTAATTTGTGGAGACGATGACAAAAAGGTATACAAAATGCAAATACACTACAGAAGGAGAAAATTCCTAGCTTTATAATGAAATTGCTGAAATTGCTTAAAAATAATTAAAACTTGCCTGTTTTCTGGCTAATTTTTTTTTTTATTAAATTGACAGTTCTAGCCACTAAATTGCCAAACTGGCAGCACTGACATCAACTCTCAATATACAATGTTGTACAATTAACTGATACTCATTTTTTACTGTACAGGAAAAAATGAGTACTCAATTTCAGAATGAATGATTTAATTCCCCTTTTGCATCCATGCAGATGGCTATTGTGTATACATATATATTGTATGAATTGTAATCTATGTGATTTATTTACAACTATACACAACGCAAGGTTCTAATAGATTTCAAATAATTATAATTCGTAAGTCCAACCAGAATCTGGGAAACGCAAATTTGCACTATCTATTCAGTTAATTTTATGAAAATATATATTTTATTTAAACTTTTTTAACTAATTATGTCAAATATAATATAAAAGTATATTTTATGAATAAAATAATATGATAAATATATATGATTTCGGTAAAATATTTCGTTTTTATTACCTTAAAGTCAATATAACCATTTTTATCCATATCGAATGTACGAAAAACATGGTCACAAAATTCTTCTGCATTTCCAGATGGAAAAAACATTTTATACATGTCAACGAATTTAGCTGGAGTCAAACGACCATTGGGACAGTCTTGCTACACGAAATATATAGGTGCGAATTCACATTAGACAAATCGTTTTGTATTCGAGAACAAATTACAACTTACCTTAAATCCTTTGTACCATTCTTTTATAGTGGCTTCATCATACCGAGTGTGAGTTTTCAAAAACTCCATATCCTCTTTTGTCAGGCGATCTTTACTACTTAAGCACCCCATTGAATATGTAGATTTTCACTTTTAACAATTTGATATAAATGTATTTTTAATTGATCAATATTTAAAGACTTGTGATTCAACTTGTTACCTATTACGCGTTTTGCTCAAAGGTATTATAAGTAGTTAGACGTTAAATCAATATTAATATTTTTTAATAATATTGCATTATGTTTACGATATGTATTTTATTTTAATGGTATTTACATTGCGTTTTTATTCTGAGTGATTTAGAAAAGTTTTTGTCAAACTATTTCCCAGTTAGTTGTTAACGCTAAGTGAACCAAAGGACTAAAAAAGATTGACTTATGCGCATGCGCGAAAATTATCTGTATACAGGCTGATTATTGAGTTACCAATTTTTTTCTGTACACAGTAATAACTTCTTTTTCATGCCAGTAGGGTTGCCATCTTCAAATTTTAAATGAAAAATAATATTTTCACTTACATATTTAGAATTCGAAATATAAATTAAGTTTGGTGTAAAATACAAATGCTTTAATTCAGAATTATATTCCATTCCCAGAGAAAATTGTTAAATGTAATATAATTTACATTTTATAGTTTTCAGAAATTCGTCAGCAATCGTAATAGATATGGAAGTCAGATCTTGAAATAACAATGTATCTATTACCCAATGTTTGCAATATTAGGTTTTAATATATTAAATTATTTGAATAATATCATATCATGGTTTTCACTGCTCGGAAAAGTAATAAATTTCAGTGCACATGTGCACTATTGAATTTTATTTAATACTAATAAATCAACAACTAGCTATTCAGTTGCGCATTTGTAAATTAACAATTGAAAATATCTCATTTTATACAGCTAAAACCACAATATACAAAATTTGATATTACATCAGATTATTTACTTACAGGTCTGTTCCGGCTGATACATATTTTTTGGTAATTTCGAAAACAGAATATATCAGCGAATGTTTCAAACGCGTTCCAGCGTTCCATCTAGCGACATTTCTTACTAAAAAGTGTTAAAAAAAAGGTTAATAAAATCAAGAAAAACCCTAAATCTACTTATAATAACCTGACATGAATAATAATATCAATAAATTATAATTCACTGTATTTTGTTTTGTATCCAATTTAGGAATGTATTCGGCAGTGGCCTATGAATTCGGTTATGAAGATTGTACTCTTAAATCATACATGGTTTAATATTTTACGCTTGAAATAAACATTTTTGTATCCTGACCCAGTGAAAATGGAAAATCAGGGTATAGTGGTTTTGTGAAAAAGTATGTAACGGGCGTATGAGTGTGTCGATCTCAGAAGCTATAAGAGCTCGAGAGCTGAATTTACAGATTTTGGATACCATGCCCCCTTCGCCACCAATTTGTAAAAAACGCATTTCAAGTACTAGAGACTTGTGCTTTGGAATGTACACACATTTTCATATGATTACGCTCTAAAAGTTTCATTAAGATTGTATGTCTACACTGCAGCGCAGCCGCTGCTTACTGCCCAGTTAGCAGAGCGCGGGCTTATGCGTGCGTGTGGATGCATGTGTTTGTATGTGTGCATAAAAGAAGTACAGAATAATTAGAAAATCAGCTTAGAGGGTTCAGGGTATCTCCTAGTCGAGCAGTCTCGACTAGAACACTCTTACTTGTTATTCCATTTTATAATATGAACATGTATGAAATACGTTATTTTTTCAGCTTGGGGCTAATGGGGCGTGGTACCCAAAACTTAAAAATTTTATTGAAATTTTCGATACTTTTCTTTTTCCTACAGTTTAATTCAGAGACGAGTTTTCGTTCTCAGTTAAATACATATATAAAATATACCGTTGGTTAACGCCATAAAATAGCGTTCATGCCTTTAATAAGTAGATTCGTATTATATAAACTTTAAGTACAAGCGAAAATTAAAACAGAGGTATTGAAATTTTTTAATATCAATTATATAATATGAATTATATTAAGAATATTTTTATATAATTTTGAGAATAAAATTAAATCTACTTTCGATGTCGTTTTACAATAACTTATCAACACGATAAATCAGCCTATACTCTATATTCGAGAACGAACACAAAATTGAAATATATGTATGTGATTTGTAAATGTTCTTAAATGATTTATAAAATCCACTATTATTTAATTTTCATATTCTGAGCATCAGAAAAATATTTTTAATGAGCGGTTGACTAATTTTGAGTCGTTTACCCGTCTGAAAACGATGAACTGAGATCTTTATTAATTAGACTTGAAATATAACGCGCAGATTTAGTTTAGTTTAAATAATCGATTGACATTCCCATTGTAACAGTAAAAATAGTATGGATGTTCAGTTGTTAAGTTATATCTCGAACGTCATTAAAACGAGAATTTTCATACATATGTATTTATTTGACAATGTATAATATTTGACAGAACTGATTGATACATTGATTAATTTTAAAGAACATGTAGACGATGTTAGCTCTTTGATTATCTGATTTGGCACAACTATACGACTATATTATAACGGGGTCATTTGACACTATCGGTAAAACGTTCCCAAACCGATGATTTGCTGCACTTAACATAGCGAACATACTGCAATTTGGGCCTTGAACTTCTTTGCTGAGATAACTTTCCATCAAACAGAGCGTGATAATAACATTTAAAAGTACAAGATTTTAGCGGACAGGGGGACTGGTATTAAAAATATATAATATATATAATAATAATTAATAATTTAATAATAATATATATACAATGGAGGACAAAAGTATTTTGACAACGCATTGCAAAAACTTTAACCGCTTATTTCTGCGCGCTGAGAGAGCTAAGGGTACCCATTATATTTTTCAGAGAGAGCAAACATACTAGGCTTTAAGTGACCAAAATATTGCATTGATAACATGACTCATTATTTTTCTATAATTATTTGCATGGCGAATTGTCATTATTTGGATGGACAAAAGTATTTTGACATTAATATTTATTAAATAGAGTGAGACAAAAACTTAACAATGGTAATAGTAACTAAAATATTAATAAGAATTAAACCCTCCTTTAATATCTGCAAGCGTTTAGGGATCGATCTAACCAAATTTTGTAATGTTTCTATTGAAAAATCCTGCTAAGGTCCTCAAACCTCAGCAATCCGTCTCCTTGGGCGTTCTTGCTAAGTCTAAGCTACATTTTACTTTTGCGTAAGCCTACACATTCTCTATAATATTGAGATCAGAGCGCTGAGGTGGCCAATCATATGTATTGACTTCAATATTCCCAGAAAATTCAGTTATAATATGGACCTTGTGGCATGGAGCATTGTCCTGCTGCAGTATACATGATTTTCCAATGAGCCGGTAACCGATGAGTGGTCATTCAGGATACGTAAATAATTATCCCTCTTCATTTTTTCATAAATTAATATCAAATTGGAGAGGCTATTGACACATGCGAGCCCCCAGAGCATTACCGATTCTTCAGCACGTGGGTACATATGCCTCTTTTTTTGCGAATATTCTTTGGCAACCTGTTATAAATCGATTTTTTTATCCAGGATACCCAAAGGAACTATCGTCCATCCATAATACTCTTCCCCAGAAGAATTGCGGCTTGCCTATGAAGATTTTAGCAAATCGATACCTTTTTAGTTTATTTTATACTAATATTAAGAGTATTTGAAGATCTATAACGTAGAAAAATTCGCCTTCTTTCGCCGACTTGTGATAGTTTTTCTGCTTATTGATAATTTATGATTATTTTTGGGCTTAATCGACATGACTTTTAGGAAAATTCCCACATTTTCTTTAAGATTTCTCAATATGATGCGGCCTTCTACAGGTTTTTTTGAATGAATTTTCCGATCTGGCCTTCTTGTTTAAGTGAATCAGTTTTTATTTTTTTGTTAATTTAGTTGTAAATTGCTCATAGAGGTGTATTTTATAAGCTTTTAAGGTTTTCCACGGAAATACCTGCATTATTCTTCGTTCGCGACTAATTTTTTAATGATTTCACTTAATCCCGTTGTTTGCCCATAATTTACCGAAAACTATGATCAAATAATGGCTATTATTAAAGAGGACACCAAAAATAACTTAAAAAGAAAAATTTGTATTTTTGAATCCAAGCAAATTACCGAAAATGAATTTGAAAGGGAATGTCAAAATACTTTTGTCCATCCAAATAATGACAATTCGCCATGCAAATAATTATAGAAAAATAATGAGTCATGTTATCACTGCAATATTTTGGTCACTTAAAGCCTAGTATGTTTGCTCTCTCTAAAAAATATAATGGGTACTGTTACCACTCTCAGCACGCAGGAATAAGCGGTTAAAGTTTTTGCAATGCGTTGTCAAAATACTTTTGTCCTCCATTGTATATAAAAGAGAGTTGTGTAAAAGTGCTCCTCCACTTATAACTCGAGATCTGCTGGACCAATTTTCATGGTTTTTGATTTGTTGGATTTGTCTCCGCCACTAGTAGGATAGTAGATCTTAAAAATACTGAAAAAATTTGACGAATACTTGAAAAACGCGGTTTTTCCCTAAGGATTCAAATTTCCATTGATACTCAGTAGGCTTGATAACAGTGACAGTTTTCGGTCCTGCTCTCATATTATACAATAGTATAGAAGTAAATAAACAAATGTAGTCAGTCAGTCTACGGCACAGCCTCAGACGAACCTGACTATTCATAAAAAAAAGCACATCTGATAAAAATAATACGCGTGCGTACAGAAGCTAAATATCTCGAAAGTTTAGGTATTTGTTTGTCTCAAACATAAATTTGTGTAAATTATTTATATTTCTCGATTGTTTTATGTGGTTTTGTGCGAGGGCATATTCAGTGTTACTATTAATAAAAATGCCGCGTCCTAGAAGATCTAATCTTTCCCGGCGGACCCATAATGCAATTAGGCAACGGAATTATCTGACGAAGAACGAGAAATAGCAAATAGCAAAGAAGGGCCTTAATTCGTGCTTCTCAAAGAGAGGCAGCCCGTGAACATGAATATGATCCACATGAGCTAATGCAATCAGTTCAAACGAATGTACCACTGTTGAATCCTAAGCAGAGGGAATATGATTGATGATGATGATGTCATTGATTTTGGCAACTGTACCTGCGAGATCCGAAATTGCGGTAGCAATTGCTTCTTCTGGAATAGCGGCCACACTGTTAGACGGATGCCGTACGGCTCACTCATCGTTAAAATTGCCATTAAATCTTCAAGCTACTGAACAACCGACATGCAACATTTCAAAACACTCCGCAATGGCCAAAGTTTTAGTAGCATCAAAAATTATCATATGGGACGAACGCACAATGGCGCACAAACGCGCATTGGAAGCACTAGACCGAACATTAAAAGATCATGATTCGATGACTCGAGATGTTTTGGTGGTTCCATGATTTTATTATCTGGCGATTTCCGACAAACACGACCAGTAATTCCAAGATCTACTGCTGCCGACGAAATAAACGCTTGCCTCAAAGCATCAAATCTGTGGCAATATGTAACCAAACTTCAACTGTCTGTAAATATGAGAGTTGCATTGTTGAACGATCTATCTGCTGATGATTTCTCGAAGCAATTGCTGAATATCGGTAATGGCCGTATTCGTGTTGACAAATCGAGTGGCTTGATTTCATTTTCTCAAAATTTTTGCAATTCCGTCACATCAAAAGATGAGCTTATCAACAAAGTATTTCCGAATATCATTGCTTTCCACAAAAATACTAAATGGTTAAGTGAGCGACCAATTTTGGCGGCTAAAAATAAAGATGTAGATGACCTTAATTTTATAATTCAAAATAAATTCGTTGGTACTCTGTATTCATTCAAATCTATCGACTGTGTAACAAACGAAGAAGAAGCCACTAATTATCCAACTGAATTTTTGAACTCCTTGGATGTGCCTGGTTTACCACCGCACAATTTACAACTGAAGGTTGGCTTGGTAGTTATCATGCTTAGAAATTTAAGCCAACCAAAACTGTTCAATG